GCCAGGCAGGCTTGAAACGCGGCTGAGTCGGATCCTTGGCTGCTGCCTCCTGCCCGGGGCAGAACTGTTAAAGGCCTGCTGCTGTGTGCGGGCACTGGGCCAGGTGCTGGAGGTGGGGCAGGGGGTCTGGGCCAGGTGCTGGAGGTGGGGCAGGGGGCTCTGGGCCAGGTGCTGGAGGTGAGGCAGGGGGCACTGGGCCAGGTGCTAGAGGTGGGGCAGGGGTGTGACATAGCCCCTGCCCTCTCAGGGCTCTCCCTGAAACCAGGGGAGGTGGCACGAGAGCAGGCCAAGTAATGGACAGTCCCCCGTCACGGAGAAGACGCCACTCCGTGTCAGGCGCGTGTGCACCTCGGTAAGGTGTCAGCTCCCTGGACGCAGGGCCGGTCAAGAATGTAGCCCCCGGGAGCCAGCTGTCCCGTGTCTGAATCTGAGTGTGGCTGCTGACCGGCTGTGTGGCCTCTGGTGAGGGACATGTCTCTGTGCCTCGGTTTCTCCGTCTAGAATAATGGGGCACCCAGAGGGGCGCAGTGAGGAGGGAATGAACCCACATCTCTATAAAGAACCGAGAAGCRGTGACGCTCGTGCTGGGTCTTAGCTGTCCCCTGATAATCAAGGTGAACTATGATTAYAAAATGAACTGTGGTCACCACAGAGGCTGGGGACACCAGGGAGGTTGCCAAGCCTGTTTGTCAAGCTGTCGGTATGTCACCCAGCGGGGTCCGTCCACAGCGTCTGCAGGACAGTTGGAATCCCCAGGAGAACTGAAGGCCGTTACAGACTGTGCTGCCCATTGGCTCCTAAGAGAAGGCAGGCCGCGTGGCCGCGGAGGGTGGGGCCCGCGTCTCCCTCATGGCTCTGTCTCTGGGTCCTAGCATGTATTAGGTGCTCAGTTAAGAGCTGTGAGCCAGAGCCGTGAAGTGGAGGCTACTCCCAAACCACCCTCCTTCATCGACGCCTTCTGGGAAAGCAGGTGGCCGTTGCCGTCTCAGTTCTGGCCACCCCCGCTGGCTCCTGGACAGCCCTGGGCGTGCCGAGGCTCCCGTCTGTTAAGGTCCTCCCTGCCCGGGGTCTGTCCCAGCACCTTGCAGTGGGTGGCTGTCCCACGGGTGCTGGTGGGAGCTTGAAGGCAACACGAGTACTTAAGGGCACACAGGCCAGAGTCCCAGGGACTCGTTACTGGGGAAGAGGCTGGGTGCCCAGCGGACGATCCTCAGGTCTCCATTCTGAGCCAGCTGGAGGTCAGGGCTCGGTTTCCTGGACTGTCTGTCAAATGAGAGGGTTTAAGGTAAGGGTCCCTTTTTCCTCTGAAATTGAAACTCAGCCACACTCTCAAAAGTCCAAAGTGTCAATGATTCCAAGAAGCCAAGAACCGTCTCAAAAACCTTTCGGATAGGTATCATAATAACAAACGTCCTCACAGGCGAGATCCGTCACTTCAGATGACAACTTATGAAGTAAGTGTCACCATCAACGTGAGTTGGGTGCTTTGCATGCCCCAAGCACCTTACGTGTGTGAAGTCATTTTAGTTTAACAGGGATGGGAGGTACTAACACTGGCCCCTGCTTACCGATAAGAGAATGGGCTTGGAGAGATGACCAGACTTGTCCAAGTTCACACCTGGCATGGACAGGCTGGGGCTCCAGGTCCAAATCTCCCATCTCAAGTGTCCGTGACATTTTCTGAAAATGGCCATCCAGTAACTATTGGAGGCTTTGCAGACTGCCGCAACAGCTCAACTCTGCCACAATAACTCAAGCAGAGCCACAGACAGTACAGAAATGAATGGCTGTGGCCCGGTGTTCCAATAAAACTTTATTTATAAAAACAAGGAGTGGGCCGGAGGTGGCCGACAGGCCATGGTTGGTCCATCCCTGATCCACACTGACAGCCTGCCTTTCAGTAAGACCAACGTGACTTGGCCCCTGCCGTGTTCTCTCCTCACCTGTGAGGTGACTCAGAGTCACATTTCTGAGCAGATGGCCACTGTCTCTGGAGAGATTGAGTTGACTCTAGCTCCCTTGGGGGAAATTCTAAGCAGAAGTCACACCTATTAGGACTTACTAGTGACCAACTGCTCTCCTAGAACACCCTGGGGGACTTACTCCAGTTCCCCCAGTAATTTTTAAAGAGAAAAGTAAGGGTCGTAGTTTAGAATAATATCACAGAAGGCACTTTACTGTGGAAAGCCCTTCTTTGAATTGAGAATGAAAATAGAGAAAGGAAAATGTTTTCAGGTACAGAAAGGTCTCCAGGCAGGGGAAGTCAAGGGAGAAGGAGGGTCCCAGGGCTGGAGGCCACAGCCAGAGGATGACTATTAGGAGAATCGGGAAACAGGGTGTCTCTTGTTGATAGCTTTATTGAGATATAATTCCCGTAACATCCATTCACGTTTTAGGTGTACAGTTTGATGGCTTTGGGCATGCTCGATGTAGGTGTACAGTTTGATGGCTTTGGGCATGCTCGATCATGCAAGCACTATCACAGTGAATTTTAGAACATTATCAACTCCTCACAAAGAAATCTGTGCCCTATAGCAGTCCACCCCCATCCCCCACATCCCCCAGCACCCCTGACCCTGGGCAATCACTAATCTACTTTCATTTCCATAGATTTGCCTTTTCTGGACATTTTATATAAGTGGAATCATATAATATGTGCTCCTTTGGGTCAGGCTCTCTTCTCATGGCATGACGGTCTCAAAAGTTCAGTCATATTGTAGCACATATCAGAAYGTCATTCTTTTTTGTGGCTGAATAATATTCTATTGTATGGACATACCAGAGTTTGTCTCTCCATTTGTCAATTGATAGACATAAAGGTTGTCTCCACGTTGGGTGATTATAAATAATATAACTGTGAACATTTGTGTGTGTTTTGTGTGGGCACAATCTTCATCTCTCTGGGGCATGGAGCTAGGGAGCGGACTTGCTAGGTCATAGGGCAACCCTGTGTTTGACATGTTGAGGAACTTCCGGGACCAGGTCTTTTCAACTGTATTATGGAAAGTTCCCACCATATCTAAAAGTAGAGAAAATGTTGTCCAAACCCTCAGGTTCCCATCGTCCGGGGTGGGCGATGGTCCTCCTTTTGCCTCCAGCGGGTCACTTGTGGGTGGGACAGGAATCACCTTGAATGAGGCAGGACCAGGTATGTGGTTTGGGGGAACCAGGGTGAAAGGAGTATGCAGAGTTCTGGTTCAGACACTAAGAAGTTCAAGGTGGCCGTAGCCGAGCGGTAAGCACGACCCTGTGACGGCATGGCTTCCAGGTCCACCAAGCCAGCCCTGCCCCGAGGCCAGCCCCAGGTGCCCAGCAGCCCTGATTCAGCAGATGCAGGAATCCAGGCCGCCCTCGGTGCCTGGGGACAGAAACACCTCTCACCTCTCATCCCAGGAAGGCTTCTGAGGACTGCTGGGTCCCCGATGGCATGTGGGACAAAATTTAAGGCCATTTCATTTGAATCTCCAAAAGTAAGATGACCCCGGGTGATGTGCGGGTTCTAAGCACTTACAAAAAACATAAATAAGTCACCGTTTGTCCTAAGCCTTCTCCCCTAAGAGCTCGCGGTCGTTTTATTTGGCCACACCATTTTGTCCTGGATTCTGAGTGTCCTCTGAGACCCCCGCGGGTGACAGGGCTGCAGTGTGGAGGACAGAGACCCGCCGAGCAGCAGGAGGTGCAGAGGGGACCAGGGATGCCCAACAGGAGCAGGTGGCCATGACAGATGCCAGCAGCCCACCGTGACAGCGGATCTGGCATGAGCCCGTCATCCTCCTCGGAGGACAGCCTCCACCCACCCCGTGAGCCTCACTTCCTGTGCCCACCTGGACCTCAGCCCCAGGATTCACAGTGTCCTCCACTCCGACACCCAGAGATTCAGAGCCCCCAAGTGTTGGGGTGCCCCCCAGGGTGCATCACACCGGAAGCCTTGGCGGGAAGGGGTGAACGGCTCCCCTGGGAAGGAGGGAGGCAGACGGAACTCGATGAGGCCAGAAGAGGAGGCCTCGAAGCTCCTCCGGTCTCTGSAGGGCCTCATCCACCTGTTGCGCTCCTCATGGCCTCCTGGGCCCGGTGGACCCTGGAGGTGGACCCTGGAGCCCTTTTGTCATCTACGAGCCAGACACGGTCCCTGCCCGTCCCCCCGCCCCATTCTCCTGACAGCCGTGTAATAAAAAGAAGGGTCACTGAATTCCACTGCTCCGACTCAGAGTGTAGAAGTGATTTTTTTTTAAGGCACCATTTTATGTTTTTTAATTATCCCCAGATTTAAAAGTTACACCGCCCTATGGTTAAGGGAAATAGTACAAAAGAGAATAACGGAGAAAATAAATAAAAATATGCAATTTTTCTCTTGATTCCAACCTCATTGAGAAGTAGCCACTGTGAGCAGTTTGTACAATCCCCATGCGTTTTGTAAGCATGGTCAGGTGTGTGCCATTTTTTTTTTCTTTTGCTCCTAATGTGAAGAAGATCCAGCAGGGTGCGGTGGGCTCATACCTGTAATCTGAGCAGCTGGGGAGGCTGAGACAGGAGGATCAAAAGTTAGAGGCCAGCCTCAGCAACTTAGCAAGACCTTAAGCAACTCAGGGAGAACTTATCTCAAAATAAAACCATTTTAAAAAGAGCTGGGGGTGTGGCTTAGTGGTTAAGGACCCCTGAGTTTAATTCCTGATACCAAAAAAAAAAAAAAAAAAAAGATCAAGGGCATTTCAAAAAATTCTGCAGACTACACAGCACTCAGCTCCACCTCATCCTTCTAACGGGGTCCAGCATCCCACCATACGTGACCTGTCCCCTACTGGCTAACACTTGTGCTCGCTCCAGGATTTTGCTTTACCCACCTAGGATAAATTCCTAGAAGTGCAATTTCTCTCCCAGAAAATATGTGCATTTGAAATCTACACTATTGCCCAGTGTAGTTTTAAAAACACACTAGCATTCTCCAGCCCCTGAACAAGTCACGTGGGGGGACCTGTTTCTGACACCCTTTCCTACCCCAGCAAGGATGCCGTGTGGCCGGAAGCTAAAAATTCCCAAAAAGGTAAGTTGAACTTTCTCCTGTGGGCTGAGGTTGGGGGCGGTCGTGGCCTCTGAGGTTGACCCTGTAGCTTTCCTAGGAGAAGAGCCATTCGGAGCGTTCGGTAGTTTGGGGTTTTATAAACAAAGACAGGGTTTGGGGAGGTGAGCCAGAACTGTGCAGCAAGAAGCACTGCGAGAGCCAGTATTTATTTCTCCAGCACGGTTAGAAGTTAAATATGGTCAAAACATATTCTTCTTTTTAATTTACACAAACAAATATGTTCCCAGGCTGACACCTCCGATGCCAAGTTTCTAGGGGAAACGAAATTCTGCTGTGAGATTGTAAACCACTAGAGASAGAGGGATGGGAATGGAAAAGCCACGGTGCGTTGGCTGTCCACGCCCAGAACCCGGCCGGCCGCTGAGAGGTGTCCCTGTCTTGGTTGCAGCCGGACCTGCCAGAAATCTCAGCCGGGGGACCGTGCGGCGTGTCAAGGCCAGAGGGTGGAAGAGACTCGGGTTCTGATAAAAGGAGACCTGCTTKGCTTGGCATCCGCTCTCCTGCCAATCAGGAGGCTGCAACGCTGTTCCCAGAGCCGGTGATGAATCAGGGGGGAGAGAGGCACAAGGACACCGTGAGTGGCCTTTCAGGGCTTGGGCTGATGTAAACCCCAAACAACTTGAACGGGTGCCAAGGGAGGGGATTAAAGCAACATGCTATTTGGAGTGATTGCTTAATTTATTGAGCTGCTTTTGGCGAGGGCTGCAATGAAACAGAGCCCTTGTAACCGATCGCCTCCTGCTGCAATCGGACTTCTGCAACTCAGGGCTGTTTTCCAGGAGTTTTTCTGGAACAGCTTGGGATCTTTAGCCTCTGTGGTGGGGTGCTTCTGAGCCCTCATTTATCCAGGCAGGCTGATGTTAATAAAGAAAATAAGCAGTGTTTTATGGACTGCCTCGTGTGCACCAGGCACTTTATATACATTATCTCTAATCCCCACAATTTCCCGGTGAAATAACCCTTCATTATTCCCTGTGTGACCGTAGGAAGCCGGGGCACGGGAGGTGATTTTCGAGAGCGACCTGGTCCAAGACAGTAGCTGCTAGCCACTGGCATAAATTAGATATTTAAAAATAKATTTAAAAATTCACTGGCTGGGGGATACTAGCAACCAGTTCAAGTGCCCGGTAGTCCTGTGTGGTCAGTGGCCACCACGCTGGGTTCGATCCTCAGCACCACATAAAAAATAAATAAATAAAATAAAGATATTATGTCCATCTACAACTAAAAAAATTTTTTTAAATATATATATWTTTTTTATTATAGGGTTCCAGGCCCGGAGATTCTGTCCTGTGATTTATGGGGACAGGGACTGGCATCGGAAGGTTTTATAATTCCGCATGAGACTCCAGTGTGCAGCCAGGAAGGACACCGGCTGGATGGGAGGATCCGCACTCGGGATGTTGGAAGGGGCTGCGTGGTCTCTTGGGGACCAGGARGTGGGCTTCTCCCAGGGCAGCCTCRGGGGAGAGCCGAGGCTCAMGCCCATGGGAGACTTCAGGGCTTCCTCACGCGCTCCCAGCTTGATGCGAGACACAGTGGGGGCTTTGCTTTTAGGCACCAGACTTGATCACGTGTCCCTGTGGGATCACAGAGACGGGGTGAAGACCTGTGGCTTGAACTGGAAGCTCTCATGAGCCTTACGGACAGGAGCGCGTGTTTGCTGGCTCCCTCCCCAGAGAAGTGAGACCGAGCGGCTCCTTGTGTGTGCAGGGAGCACCCTGTCACCCGGGGTGACGGTCTCTAAACACCACTGTCCATTAGAACTCGGGGCTCCGTGGAGAAGCGGCCAGTGGAGAAGCGGCCAACATCTTGTCATGGGGAAGCAAGGCAGGTGTTGGCGACTCCTGGGGTCAAATCCACGAGGACACAGGAGACCACACGAAGAGGCTTGGCCGAAAGGGACAGCTTGGACATCCACAAGAGTAGTCACCGCACAGTGGTGCTGGGGGCTGATGTCATGGAGAAAGCTAACCAGAGCTCGGGCCCTGAATGAATGGAATCCAAAAGAGCGAGACTAGGAAATAGTCAGAGAGAAGTCAGACAGGGGTCTAAGTGAGCTTCCAGCTCTACCAACTTATAAGAAGCACGGGACAGAGAAGATCCTTCAGGGGGCGCACCAAGCAAAATCCAGACCCCCCAGAAGCTCCACAAAACCCTGTTGCTTCAACAAAAAAAATTACAAGGGAAGACATGGAGAGGGGGAAGAACCTAAAGATTAAGAGAGACGAAGGACACACATCATCTAATAGGGACAGTTTCCATGAAGACGTAGTTTCTCAATATCCTCCAAATCTGTGAGCTCCATTTGGACCCCGATTGGACCCAACTATAAAGAAAACATCGACGAGACAACTAGAGAAATCGGGATCCTGATCTGATATTTGCTGATATTAAAAACATCACTGTCGCGGGGGCGCCGTGGCGCATGCCTGTCATCCCAGCAGCTCGGGAGGCCGAGGCAGGAGGATCATGAGTTCAAAGCCAGCCTCAGCAACTTAGCTAAGTCCCTGAGCAACTTAGCCAGACCCTGTCTCAAAATTATAAAAAAGGGCTGGGGATGTGGCTGCTCAGGGATTTAAGTGCCCCTGGGTTCAATCCCCAGTACCAAAAAAAAAAAAAAAAAAAAAAAAAAAAATCACTGTTGGACTGGGGACGTAGGTCAGTAAAAAGTTACTGTTTATAGGAGTGGAGGAGGTAAAAAGAAATTTTTTTCTTGGGAGTCATATACAGAAATATTTGCAAAAGAAATAACCAACGTCAGGAATTTGTTTCAAAATAGTCTGGGAGGAGAGAAGGGGAGGAGGGGAAGGAGGTGTCCACGGCCGAGGGCTGGCGATTGCCGTAGCTGGGCTCCTGACTCCTGACCACACACTCTGTCCCCCGCCTGTGTGTGCAAGAAGCTTTTCAAAATAAAAAGGAAAAAATAAGGAAAACTCGCCTTTTCCTGCCCTTCTCTCAAAGGGATCAGGTTGATCGGCCAACCCAGGGCCTGCCTCTCTGGGACCAGCCTGGGCAGCAAGCTCAGTATAGACAACTTGAAGCAGCCCACCCCCGTCTCCATGGCAACCAGCATCCAGAAGCCTCCCACCCCCGAGAGGGTCAGGCCAGGCTGCCAGGGTCACGCAGGACACACGCCGCTGCTCCCTTGGGAGAGTCCCCTAGATGGGTCTTCGACCAGAGAGGCCTCTCGGCACCCTGTCCCCCTGCCTCTGGCTGCCTCTGTGCAGCCCCTGAAGGAGGAGAGGCCAGTTAGTGGGAAGAAGAGACCCTGAATCAGATCCAGGTTCAAATGCGGAYCTTCAACCTCCTCGAGTCTCGGGTTCCTCATCTGTAAAGTGGGCATAAGGGTCCCTCAACGCACTCAGCAGATCTTTGCAAAGGAAGATCCACGGCAAAGGGGGGGGGAGGATCTAGCTCTACCTGGTGGAATCCGGCAGGCCCTCCAGAATGAAGGGTGATCTCAGTACCGCAGAAGAGTCAGGATCAAATTGAGAGGCAGGGGTGACCCTATCGAAGGTCAGGTCCCAGTTTTTGAATCAAACTGGCAGTCGAGCCCACCTTCCACGAGCCAAAGTCACCACCCCTCCAGCTACTCATCACCTCACTACCGCAAACACTGGAAGAACTTTGCTTGGTGCTTCCATTTCCATGGGGCAAGGACCATCTCTGGAGGGAGCAGTGGCCTTGGAGAAGAGAGGTCACCCACCCAGGCCACACTGTTGGTACACGGYCCCTGTCTCTTATGCTCTGGGGTCTGTGTCCTGTAACAGCAGAAAATCAGTGCTACTAGGAAGCCAAAAGTCTCCCCAGACCCAGCTTCATTTTGCAAAGGAACAAAGTAGCCCAGAGAGGCCAAGTCATATGTCTGAGGMCACACAGTCAACGAGCAGCTAAGCCCATGTCCAGGCTTCTTGGGGACAAGGGCAGGGAAGCCCCACACAGTGGGGGAAGCCAACTCTTAACTGCCCCGTTTGACCCTGTCCCAGAGTAGGGTGACCAGCTGTGCCAGTTTGCCCGGGACTGCTGAGCTTGGGACTGGGGACTTTCCGGGCTAAATCAGGAAGGTCCTGGCCATCGCCCCACCTGTGGGATGCAACGGCCTCACTCACACTCCCTTCCACAGAGGGGAGGCATCTAAATGCAGGCGCSTCAGGAACCAAGGGTCTGGGATGCAGCCAGCTAAGGAGAGCCAGGGAGACCTCACAGAGGGTTAGGGGCTCCRTGCTGCTGGTACCCTGCGAGCCGACCACCCTCATCATGAGAGGCTTYAGCACCTTTCTTAGGTCCCTCCCATCTGTCCTGCCCCCAGTAGCCAGTGTCCTTTATACACTGCAATCGGATGACCCTCTGCCTCGGTTTACAAACCTTGGTGGCTYCCCATTGAGATTTTTCTTTTGCTTTGGAAGCTTTGCAGGTGCAGGAACCCCTGGGTGGGCTTGTCCCTGACCACCTGTCCGAACCTCCCTCTGCACCAACCTCGCCCTTACAAGATTCCAAGCAGGGTCAGGCTCACCTAAGACGCATTAGCGACTCCCTCCCTCCCCCA